TTTACTATTTGGAATCGTGTCCTCCAACTGCACACTCAGTGCACTGCGTGCCGGAACGCCGCGATCGTTCTAGCATCATCGAGCATAGCAACCAGGTAGGGAATCATACCTATCAGCGGTGGTTACCTGCTAACATGGCGGACTCGGAGATCCCGAAGTGCTATAATTGTGGTGAGCCGGGACATCTTTCACGCGGATGTATCAAACCGTGGAGACCCCGTGACACGAACGAGCAAAGCGCGGCGTCGACATCTGCGAGTAACGCTAACCATCAGATCGTACCTGTAAGTGGACCTGGCGCGATCCAGGCAGTAGAACGTAACGATCGTGATAGTAATTATAGATACGGTAACGGGAGTGGTAATTATTATAACAATAACCACAGTAATAATAGTAGCCTGACATCAAACAAGGACATTGCAGACGCAGTACTGATGATGCGCGAGTTTTGTGCTACCTTCCTACAAGAGAAACGGGAGGAAAAGGAGAGAAGAAAGGAGGAAGAAGAGAAACGCAAAAGAGAAGACGAGATGCGATTGTTGACAGAGGAGCGGGAGAGCCATGAGAAAGCGAAGCAACAGAGAGCCGAGGAACGCGAGGCGAGGCTGGCGATGTTGATCGAGTCCAAGATCCCCAGCAAAGACCAAGGTTACCAGGTTATTATCGAACAGTTGGCCGACCAGAACAGGGTGTTTCGCGAGGCCGTTGAAGCAATGAAGGCCGACACTATGAAGAACCCCATCATCGTCAAAGACATCCGCCGCGACGTGCTTCTCCTGCGAGAAGCCGAACTCAAACGCGCCAAGAGGAAGCGCGGTAAGGAGCAAGTTCGGGAAGAGGAGGAGCCTGCAGAGAAGAAGACGAACGGGACACTTGATAGAGAAGCGAGGCTGGCCCAGGAGCTGCTGAACATGGAGATGCGCCACCGTGAAGAAATGAAAACGATGAGAGAAGAGATTGAAAGACTTAAGGCGGCGCAAGCAAAGGCCTTAGTGGAACAGACTCCTTCCACCTCCAAGGCAAGAACGTACACGCCGTTGTCAGGCTTGAGAACGGTCAGACCGGAAGAACTGTTCGCCAGATCAGCACCGGTCGGACGGACATCCACAAATCAAGAAAAGGAACCACTAGGATTCGACCGCCTCGTACCAGGGAAGAAAGCGGTGGTAGCTGAACCAGGTCCAGATGGACAAAAGAAGTACATCGAGGAAACCAAACGGCTCCTTAAAACGAAGAACATGCCGTTCCTGATGAAAATGGCGAAGGATCAAAAAGTGAAGACGAAGAGTAATCGCAAGGACGACCTCATCGATGCGCTTGCTGAAGCCCGAGCTGAGATTGCGTACGGGAAAAGGAGGGATGACCCCCCCGTCCGGATCAGCGAACAGATCAATCCGGATGGCCGGGTAATCGAAGATGATGAATGATGAAGGGCACCAGATCCCATCATGTGCATGGCAGCGCTTCATGCCGAGGAGCCATGACCCCTTAAGGAGGAGCGGTAACCGCGACCAGAGAAAGCGAATTGAACTGGAGCTGAGACTCTTGGTGGTTAAGCTGACGAAGGAAGGGCGCGTACCAGGGCTAGAGAAGTTCATGAAGAGCGTGACAGGATGGGACAAACATGAGGATGCCTGGTTTGCTGAACCGGAAGCTTGTGTTTATGCATTGGTTTCACCACGTTTCAGAGCTACGTACATCGGCCAGACTTCACGAACGTTGGAAGAAAGATGGGAGGAACACAAGAGAATGGCAGAAACAAAAGAGGAAGGAAGGCAACACAAACTGTATCGATGGTTGAGAAAGAAGGGGTGGCGAGAGTACGTGGCCATCCCCTTGGTGAACGGGGCGAAGAACGAACTGTTGGAGTTAGAGGGTTTCTACATTGGGAATTTCTGCCCGGTGTTGAATGCTAAAGGAAGGCGGACGAGACACAAGAAGAATAGACCGGGAAGGAGACAAAGAAGAGCCAAGAACAGACAACGAACAGCGAGCGATGGTGTGGCGCCCGTACTAATCGAATCTGAAGGTTACAAAGGATACTCGATAAGAAGACTACTGGCAGTGAGCGGGTCGAACACGATCGTACGGGTAGGACAGGGCACACGATGGTGCGAGGACTGGTCGGTGGTGAAGCGGTGTTATGGGATGACCGAGATCCGATGGAGAGGGGAAATGACCCTCCTCAGGCGTGTACGGCTGAGAGAGGTAATCGGGAGCAGCTTTGAGGTAACACGCATAGTGTTGACAAAGAATAACCACAATCACCAACTGCTGATTGCCCTTCTCCGTATACCACTGTACCGAAGGACACTGTACACCGTAGGCTTTACAATGGACCGATTGGTTCGTCTGTACTATGCGGTTAGAGAATTTCGACAGCGGAGAGATAGGGCGATCCTTCGTGGCGTCATATCTAGGGCGGTTCGAGCCAAGTATGGGGTTAGTATCAGGAAACGACTGATTGTAAGAGTCAGATTTGAGGAGGGATTGAGCCGGTACGAGGTAACCAGGTGCTGTAAGAAGAGGGTAAGGGAGACATACGAGAGTCAGGAAATTGCTGAATTTGTGTGTAGACGCATGAAGGTGGTGTGGACACGGGACAAGACCATTGGTCAGCTGGTCTGCAACCACAGACGGTATGCGAGGATGGAGTTGGGGGAAGCCGAATGCGGTTGTGATAGAATGGAGTGGCCGAAGGATGAAGAAGGGCACGTATGCTTCCGGTTTTCGGAGGTGGAGAAAATGGATATCGATCTGAAGAATTCACGAAACGTACCGAGACCTGACTACGGTAACCGACGGGGACTCGTCAGACAGGTGAACAGGGAGCTGAGCACGTTTTTCGGGCTACAGGAGGTGCGACTATTCTCCACTAAGGAATTGGAGCATTGCTACAAGCAACTGACTGGACAAAGACGAGGGATATCAATGTGTGAAGTTCAAGGGATCAAGGAACAAACGAGGGGATTGGTCCTCATGCCTATGGACCACAACATGGGTGATACCATGGCGTGTTGCCCAATCAGGTACCAGGAGGCGATGCGGACCATGTTTTTGGAGAACCAGGCCTTTGTGAAGCACCAGGAGGAAGAGGGTGTGATCCTTCACGAATGCAAGAAGTTGTATGTCAGTGGTGGATACACACGAATTGCAAAATGGGACAACAACGGTGCGCTGGGACAAGCTTACGTCACCCCGAAACACAAAGACATCTCCAGATGGCGGCCTATCTGCCCGTCTTACGGCAGGGCTCTGAACGTCATGTTGTGGAGTCTCCCAAAACTATCTAATCTCAACTTGAAGAGCACCCAACAGTTGGTAGATTGTGTCATGGCCATTAACAAGAATATGGGGAGAACGAAGCGACGGGGATTGATTGCGGCCAGCTTTGACATAAAGGATATGTTCTCCAAGCTACCGCATGAGGCCATAATTGAGGCAGTGGAGTGGCTCGTCGAGAGGTATGAAGAAAGGGGACTGAGCCGGGTACGGGTGAAGACGAAAGGGAAAGGAGCGACATTTGGGAAGGCGGGAGGCAAGGTCGGGTGGGTAACAATGTCATTCAGTATAATCCTGAAATTTGTTAGGTACGACCTGGCCAACACGTTTCTGAAGGCGGCCACGAAAATCTTGCAGCAGAGAGAGGGCATTCCTATGGGCAAGAGTAGCAGCGCTGCTCTGGCGTGTGTGCTGTGTGCCCATTGCGAGTACTCGTTCCTGAATGCTCTGGGGGCAGACAGAAAGCTGGTACATGGCTGTCGCCTGATCGATGACGTGTCCGTGTTCATATCGTTTCAGATTGATGAAAGTGAGAGCCTTGCCAAGGCAATGCAAGTCATGAAGGAGTTTGAGAAGTGCTACGATGAAAGGCTGACTTTGAAGAGAACTGACGAAGCCGCAGGGACTTGGCCTTTTCTGGGGTGCAAAATCCGGGTGAGTATGTACCCCCCTTTGGTGTCGTGCACTGCGACTACGGCCAACGGGCCGACACTACTGAAGGGGGGTAACATTGTTTTCCAAGGGTTACAAGACTTCACGTCGTATTCATCAATGCAAGCTAAGAAAGCCGTGATCACTGGATATTTGCACAGGGTGTGGAACCACACGTTGATTAAGGAGCAAGCAGGGCCCACCCTACTTGCCCTGAAAATTGAATTTCGTAAACGGGGGTTCCCAGGCCAATTTTTTGATTCGAGACTAGCGTATTTTTCGCAGGCTAAGGACGGTGCCTGGGATGACTGGGCTGAACTGCTACGGGACGAAACTGACCAGAACGCAGAACAGAGATTTTTAAATTGGGAATGGACCCATGTACCTGGCCCAGGAGTACGGTAGAATAGAGAACGATGTTTTGGTAACCACCGACGGGTATGCCGAGGCGGGGCGGCACCACAATGAACCGGTAATAACCGAGCAATCGAGCGAACTGAGCAGGACAGAGGTCGGACGGAAGGACAGATGGCGCGAATTGAAGGACAGGTTATTTTTGAATTTTCAAAAGGTTTCGAAGAGCGGGAAACGTGTTTGGAGAACCGGRTAATACRGGAAAGGGAGHKGTATAAAGGCAGGACAGTAGAGGTAGGACTCACCTTTCGAGAGTAGTGTAGCCCCTGATGACGCTGCACTGGCGGCAGCAGAAACGCGTWGGGCGTTTGCYAGGACATATGGAGTAGGACGCTGCTTCATGTGTCAAGTTCTTCTGCGCTTCAAGCTGTATTTCGTGACTTTGTAACTATCTCTCAGAAGGAATTTGTATTTTGCCTCTTATGGYGTAGAATAGCCTGCGGYTTGCTTTGTACTGCTCACACTATGGTTGTGTCGCTTASGATTGAATGATGAATGAGTGTGGAAACAAGGAGCGTGTTGATTCCGTTATTGAGTGAGGAGTGCCGTTCACGTTGAATGACGAATGGGTGTGGAAACAAGGAGYGTGTCGATTCTGTTAGTGAGTGAAGTAATTAACGGAGGAATAGGAAAAAACATGTACTTGAATGCATGGAAGATGTGATCAAATCTATTTGTGGAAACTAGGAGCGTGTCGTTTCCGTTGTCTAGTGTGTGATTAACGAACAGGAGAAAGCGTGTATCTGAAATGGGATCGAATCTATGGAAACGATGCTGTGCTGATGCGTAGAGGATGTTGCCACATTGACTSTGATACACTGTTGTAGCTTTACTATTTGGAATCGTGTCCTCCAACTGCACACTCAGTGCACTGCGTGCCGGAACGCCTCGATCGTTCTAGAGTACCAGAGTAACAGTTGAGTTGGGCTTCTATCGTGTATCATGTCCCCCAAGCAGCTGATCAGCAAGTGCTACACACATGGAATTGCCAGTCTACACATTGTCATCCACAAGATACTGTGAAAAAAAAAAAAAAACATGGACAATAACGTAGTTTACTAGTTTTCACGAAAGCATACTCAGTATTACTCACACCCATGATGCGTTGAACTTAATGAAAAGTTGAAATTGAAGAAATTCCCTTACCCTGCAAAGTTGCCCCCCAGGTTCAAGCTAGCTTCAGGCAGGGTAATGTCTTCAAGGTTGGCTGCAAAATTCAGTCATGACGATCAAGAATAATTAGCGACAATCTTTCACATATGTCTATGTGACATGTGTAGATCAGTACCCATATCACATGCTGCTCCGCGTATTGTGAGGCCCACCTCAGTGATCACTCCTTTAGTTGCTACTGTACCGATTTCCTTGCCATATAGAATTAACAAGTGCTCTGCCCGTTCCGGCCGTAGCTCATGCAATTCAACCCAAAGCTAACACTCATGATGGTAAGCTGATCAGTGGAAATGAAAGCAGACAACATAGTAAAGTTAACACCTAAGTAGCATGGATTACCTGGCCGGATTATCCGGGGGTGCGCTTATCCGGAAATCCGGATAATTAAAAAAGAAAAAGCCAAAAAGTCTGAGAATGATATAATCTGACTCAAACCCTCCACAGTCTGCAGAATCCCACGACAATGTTTTGAGTCATAACCTGCTTCACCAAATTGACTTGATATTGCAATAAAAAAAACTAAGAGAATGATATCGTCCGATTTTTTATTGAAATTCAAAATGATCTTGGTAGTCCATGCTGCAACCGATAAGCGTTCGTCATTGGTATATGCCTGGGGGTTCTGGGAGGAAATTCAATGAGGGCCCTAGCTAACATGTTAAGCATGCCGTTTGGGGAACCCTACTGTGAACGAGTGAACACGGCATTGACAAGGCAACTTGTAGCACGTGTTATGATGATCCTGCCCAACTCGCAATCTAGACTCGAGTTTGAGACACTGAACCTGAAGAAGAAGTGAAATCAGACTAGGAACAGATTGAACCAATGCCATCTCCTCCTCCTCCTCTCACCATTATCAACTCCCTCACGTAATCCTCTCCTCTTATTGTAAACAATCTAAATACAACAATGAACGAATGAATGAACATGAATCAATCTCTGAATAATCCCCCTCACTGCCAGAACTCAGAGAGCTCTCCCTCATGCCTCATTAGGTTGGAGATCTAGCTACTGCAGCTCATCCGTGCTTAGCACAGCTGCTCAACGGACAACACACTACTACCATGCCTCTCCATCTCATTCCCCCATAGCCACACTGTCGGGTGAAGTCGATGTCCAACCAGTACCCGAACAGGGGCTTTCCAGATGCAGCAGCGGCGAAGGAATGGAGATGAAACTCCACCACAGCCAAAGGTCAGTCTCTTGCGGGTTCCCCTCTTCTTCCTCCTCTACCTGTACTCACCTCGTCCACCCACCATAGCCTAACTTGAGGTTATTCTGCCTTGATACCCATAACCTAGGCCTACTCCCTTCACTACTCCATCACCATGGAGATCTTCTCCACCACACTCAGCTCCATGTTCGTCAGCCCAGAGCTCTGCCTAACTCTGCCTCAAGGGGAAGCAGCAGCACAACTGCCGGCTGAACACTTGAACGACTCGTCTCAAGGAACGATAGTTACGATACACACATGGCTCCCAGCCTCCAGTACCTTTACGCCGGCACACTCTCAACCCCTATCCCTGCACTACCTGCCGGAAGTTCCCGTCTTTTGGCAGAAACATCATTGCAGCCTGCAAGATATCTACCTACATACCGTCGATATCGGCAGTGGACCATCATGACCTACTGGAAAGCTACTGGACCTTTGTAGACTGACCCAAGTCGAATGTAAATGCTGCTGGGTCCCTCTTCAAATTCTACTTTTGTTCTTATCAGTCCTGGAATGTCCTCTAAGCCCCTCCAGCGTCCAATTTCAGTCCTACCCCTGTAAGCATATCTTTTCACTGTTCTACCCTTCGCGGGGCAGAGAAAACACTACCACATGAGAACCAAGCTACCTCACTGACACGAACGCAGCAAGCATCACATAGACTCTCAAACTCAGGCATGAAGAATCTCCACAAATCAGACCAACAGACAGGAATACTCAGCAAAATGCATGGATCTCAGAATGCCACTGTGAGGGTCATTGCACTCCACCCACCCAGATGCAAGGCCCTTTCAAGCTAAAGCGAATCTATGGGTCTGGACGTAATGCGTCATAGGCACAGAATGCAAACAACACAAATGAATGCTTGTGTGTGTTGTAATCGCTTCCAGGTGGCATTCATATGCATTGGCTATATGGGGTGCCGGTTGCTGTAGCCTAGATTGAGAAATCCACTGTAGATCATTGAGTCAATGACACAGAAAATGTACTAGATATTTCCGTTTATGCCCCTTAGCCTCGTGCTCATGGATACAGTCCACCTCAGCCACCATCAACGGGCTGGGGAATCATAGAGGGTCGCCTAGTGAGATCATCAGAAGGAAAGTAAGAAGTTTGGATTCATGAAGCATCGGTTACATTGGTAGATGTGGAGTTTTACGCACGGTGTGAGAGGGCCGGAGATGTTCATCTCCTAAGACTTGAGAATAGACTACCGTCTCTCACCCGAATAGAACACCCAGTCATTATCGCCGCATCTAGTCTGAAAGTTGCACCAAGTACGGCTACACTGAGCGGGCGCTCTATTCGGGTGAAGACGGTAGGGTCTGTAGTAGAGTGGCAAGAGTCTATGCAGCACTCCATCTCGGAACTAGAACATCTTGAACAAGACGTAATCCCTTTCGTGGAATGTAGCAGGTACGTGCTGCTTATTTGCATGCACAGGATTGACTATGACATCATGTTCTTTGTGCATGGCTGTGGATGCCCCAAGAAGGCAATTTCTGGTACTCAACCCCATAACGAGACATGCCAGGGGTCAGCGGCAGATGTTAGTCAGGCAGCAAGAAGTCAATGGGACCGCAGATCTGCCAAGTGGCCTGCAACTCACTTGGGGTCATATCTGTGGAGGTATGTACAAAATTGGAGGAGTGTACAAACTCTTCACAACTGGTAAGCCGCTGTCCCAACTGTTCTGATCAGGAACAATAAGTGACTGAAGTAGTTGAGCCACTGTCTGGCTCATTTCCTCTATTTGTCATGTATTCTCTGGATGACAACTTGAGGTCATGGCCAAATGCGCTTCGTACTACAGTCTTCACCCGAATAAAACACCCGGTCATTATAGCTAGCTGTATTTTGGGCAACGTTTGGTCTAGATACAGAGATAATGAGCGGGCATTCTATTCGGGTGAAGATGGTAGTCCAATAGAGGCCACTAGCGAGATATTTCCACGGTCAGCTCATACAGTGCACATGGCCTGCTCCAGTTTACTGCACCAAGGGGGGGCTAGCTGGTGGACCAAATAGGAAGCCCTGCGGTCCAACTCAGGAAAGGAGGCAATTTTTCTGCAGAATGGAGATGTTCCCCTGAACCTTTTTGCACTGATAAATTGACTGATAAATTTTTAAAAGTTAAAAGTTAAAACTTCATTACATTTTCAGTTTCATTTGTGTGCTTGTCAGCTAAAACCACAGAACAAAATTAAAGAGTTGGCTCAACTGCAAGGAAAATAAGCGTTCTTTTTCTTCCCTTCTCCCTCTTTCTCTTCCCCCCTCCTTCCCCTCCTCCTCACCTCACTCCTTTCCCCATACAGAACTACTAAATGTATGCAGATGAGGATCACAAATAGAACAGACAAAATAGAGACCCGGGGGAGTGACCGCGACGCGCCGCCGGGTTAGTTCGCTCCCGAGTGCCAATGCTTAGTCGTCAATTTCCGCGTTGATGCCTGCGGGACAGGTGGGCACCATCGCGGGTATGCTCGCGCGCCCCAGCGCCCGCACGGGGAGGCGAACACGTCAGCAAGGCCAGGGAGGGGAGTGTTCCAAAACAAGCCGAGTCAGCTCGAGACAAGGCAGACAACGGTCACGTGCATGCCATCAGGGGACGGGGAGACGAGAGAGAGGAATAAAAGGACGAGGGATGTGCGTGGAGGGAGACGAGTGGGAGAAGGAAGGATTGACTTACCGTGAGGGCACAGGTCCGCAGCCCGTCGTTTGTATATGCTTGATTGATGAGAGAGAGAGAGAGAGAGAGAGAGAGAGAGAGAGAGAGAGAGAGAGAGAGAGAGAGAGAGAGAGAGAGAGAGAGAGAGAGAGAGAGAGAGAGAGAGAGAGAGAGAGAGAGAGAGAGAGAGAGAGAGAGAGAGAGAGATGGCGCGGAACAAATCCAGATGGCACGCAGACAACCGGCGTCCACACCATTTCAGATTCAAATTTCAAGGCCCTGCGGCCCGCACGCCATTTCAGGCCTGGGTCCACTGTTTCAGATTCGAATTTCAAGGCCCTGCGGCCCGCACACCGTTTCAATTTTTTTTGGACTGCGGGGTTCCCAGGAAAACGCCACGGACAGCTACCGGTCCTGGATTTGCTTGAACTGCCGCCCCCCCCCAAATGCCAGTGCCTTTCATTTTACCAGCCTTTGAACGACCAATGGGCCCGAATGAACGACCGGTATAACGAACGACGACGAAAATGTCTCAGGGGGGGGAAACGCAACCCGGACGGGCTGCGAACAAGGCCACCGGCACGTGGCGAGCAGCAAAAACAGTGGTCAAGGGGCAAGGGTGAGGTAGACGGGATAAAATCGAAGAAGATAGAGAGGCTGTAAGAGAGAAACAGGGAGGGGGACATTGCAAACGAGCTGGGCCAGCGTGAGACGAGGCAGGTAACAAACACACGCATATTATTGGGGGGAAGGGAGACGAGGGAGTCTCCACTCTACGAATTGGTGGCAAGTTTGATTAAAATGACCCTTTGGTTTTCATATAAATGGCATGGCAAGTGGTCTGAAAATTAGGGTCTCCGTTAACCTTCTCTCAGGATAAGGTCAACGGCTCAGTGGAAACAGCATAAACAGTGATCCAAAGGTAAGGGCGGAAGGATCGAACAAGATAGGAGATTAAATAGGAGAGGGGGAAGGAATAAGGGACATATGCCGGGGGGGAGTCGTAGTGCTGCGAGGGATTGAAAAAGGGGATTAAATAGGACACAAGCCCTATCACAAGAGAACAGGAAGGGAAAGACGAAAGATTGAGATCAGACCAGCAGAGGAAAAAGAAAACAGCCAACAAAAAAGGAAGGGGCAACGGGAAGATCGG